TTTGAGAACTGAAATCTGACTAAAGCGAATAATAAAAATTACATGTTTCACATTTTACAAAGACACGTTCTTGATATTTACATATACTATAGAGATGTATTGAGTCCTTCATCATTATATTGTTCTTTAAGTATGAGTTAAGCCTTGATGCAACTGAGACTGAAGGGGTTAAATTGTCAGTTTCAGCGGATTAACACAACTTTCCTGTTTCATAGAGATGACCCAGTCAGACTAACAATCAATGTGTATGTTGGTATTCACAGGTGAGCGTGTGGGAGGCTTCACTGTGGTGTGTACTGACTCAGAAGAGGCAAAGAGGGTGGAGTCTCAGCTTAAGATCCTCATCAGACCCATTTACTCCAACCCACCAATGAACGGCGCCAGAATTGCAGCAACCATCCTCAACACACCAGATCTGCGCACACTGTGGTATGTATATATTCTGTAGTTGCATGTATACACACGTTGCCTGAACTGAATGTTTAGTTTGGACATTTGTGAAAACATTTCAGGTTTAAGTCTCCAAGTCTCTCTTTTATGTTCACCAAACTGTTTAAGATTTATTCCAAAATCCATTTATTGATCTGTCTGACCCGGCTGTCATTCGTCCCAGGCTGGAGGAGGTCCATGGTATGGCTAACCGCATCATTAAGATGAGAGAAATGCTGGTGTCTGGTCTGAAAAAGGAGGGCTCCACCCACAACTGGCAGCACGTCATCGATCAGATCGGGATGTTCTGCTTCACAGGCCTCAAACCCGATCAGGTACACATACACACAGTTTGCCTTTGATAGTTGACAGTAGAAAACAACAGACAAAAAAATATGTATAATGAATGACTATTGATCAAAGCAACAACAAACTGTGTGCAAGAATCACATTATTTTTATTATTTTTATTTAAGTGCATGGCATCAGATATTTAGGAACCAGTCAACACTTCTCTTCTCACAGGTTATTTACCGCATTCCCTGAAAACTGCAGTTATTAGGTCACTCTTAAAAGTGTTTCATATGAATTACAGGCCCCTATAAAACATCATGTTTTTAATTGAAATAATTGAAGAGGCTGTTTTTGGTCCTAAAAATTGGTAAGGTTTTTTTCAGTCAGGATTTCGACCACAGCACAGAGACTGCTCTTGTTAAGGTCTCTTTAGTGACATCCCCTTAAACACAGACAGTAAAAAAAGTTTTAGTCTTGGTATTATTACTCATTATAACTCATTCAACATGGTCGAAAGGAACATATTACCAGACAGACTGGAAAACTGGGTGTTAAACTGGTTTTAATCCAATATGATAGACAGGACCTGCCTTTTGAACTACCATGTGACTGTACAAAAATGACGGAGTTCCCCAAGGCTCAATTTTTGGGCCTTATCTGTTTAACCTCTACATGCTCCCACCAGCCCAGTTTATGAAAAAACAACAAAATATCTTACCTTAATTATGCAAAAGAACTTATGACTTAGCAGGATTTAGAAGAACATGTTCATGCTTCCATCTTCAGTGGGCCCAACGACCATAACAGTGTCTTTACAGGTGTCTTTACGAGATACGAGAGAGAACAAAGCTTAGTGGGAATGTTTGTTCGTAAATTACAGACGTGGATTCTGAGATGTGATTTATCTTTCCTCCAGGTTGAGCGCCTGACAAAGGAGTTTTCAGTGTACATGACCAAGGATGGCAGAATTTCCATGGCAGGCGTGACCTCTGGGAACGTTGGCTACCTGGCACAGGGGATCCATGCAGTCACCAAGTAGAGTTTGTCCTGCTGGGAGAGCTACGAAATCAAAGCAGCAGTGTTCAAGAGGAGCTTTAAGCGTCACCTGTTTTCTGTCTGCTCCATTCCACCTGTTAGAAAAGAGCTCAGAGTTTAGTTAGACAGTTTCTTGATTGGATTTCATCTTGAATTCAGCTTGGAACGGTTGCTGCTGTCAAACGGTTTAGTTTCTGGTTACCTTTTTTTTTTGTTTTACATTTCACTAAACAGGCTCCCCTGCCAAATTCTAAGACATGTTTTTCCGCACTACTGATGGATCATCCTTCCTTATTTATTATATGGAATCAACTGTTGGCTGTACATTAGTGTTCTCATAAATGTGTGCTGTGGGCCCACTCACTCACAGGAACCAGCATCGGGGTAATGTTAGACTGTGCATTAGTTTCTCAGACAAATGGAGATCATTGTTGCAATCCGAAAGACTCTAGAAAATGTGAGTTCTTTTTTTTTTTCTTAATTTTTAATGACGAAGTCGTAGCACTTTATAAGTTGTAAGGCACTGTTTGAGTTTCAATATTAGGTTGGCATCCTGTTTTTATTTTTAATCAGGTAATCAGTTCACTATCATGCTAATCTGTTGCCGTTAATCTAAACTAATCAGTCATCATTTCATTATTATATCTGTTTGGAGTGTGCCTAGCTATCTCCCTTGTATTCAGTACTTTTCCAGTGGAAATTTGTGAATCACCTTTTGGTTTTAATAGTTGGTGGCTTTCTTTCAGTCTTCTTTTTTAACCCCAGATATAAACAAGCACACAAGCCAAACACAATTATTCTCAGCAAAGAGAAGTGGTCAATACTTTGTATTACACTATACAATACTTTTGATTCAACAGTGGAGATGTCTTTCCCCCCATATTCCATCACAGGCCCAAAATCCATCCCCTCATTCTTTAAATTTTATTTCAGTCATGAAGTCTGTATTTGTTACAAGTACAGACGTGTGGTTGACATAGATGTATGATGTACATGATCGGGGTGAACATGAATATATATATGCACATGCTGCTCATTCACTCAGATGGTCATTCACATCCTGGTGTGCTGTATGTGTACAGTGTATGAATCTATTCTTCATCAAAACAGCATTTAGAAATGTGGGGTCTTTTCCCCAGTCTGCTCATACGTCTGAAGTCTCTGGCACTTCGCCTCCATGTTTTGCATTCTGTCATGAAATAATGGATCATTGGACATGTACCTTATTGAACAAACATTAAATCATCATACATGAGTGATCTTTTCTATTGTGTTCTTTAAATAGTTTTTTCCCTCCTGAAGTGATCAGTTAACATTAATCTTTAACAACAGTTTACCCATCTTTCCATGCTTATTAATGCTGTGTGATGGTTTCATATACATGTGTTAGTTATATCACAGTGGGTATACATGAAGATATAAAGATCATCCTAACTGACAAGAGGTGTTGGTGAGAACATGTAATGTTTACAGTGCATCTGGTCTATGGAGGCAAATAAGAGAAAAAAGTATTTGGATTTTAACACCTAAATACCTAATACTGAAAATCAAACACTGCTGAATCCAGACACTAGGAAACATTTTACTTTAAACACATGTATAATGTTCTCATTTCACCTCTTTGAAAGTTCTTGATTTGCAATTTTGAGAGATGGATTTGAATGCTTTGTCTTTCAATGGTCACAAATTCAGATCAAAAAATTAAAACTTCAGAATTAAAAATAAATAAAGTATTCATATTGCTCAATTTCAATTGATCAAATTCAGATCTAAAAATTCAAGTTTAAAATTTTCAAATAGCAACATCCAGGCTACCCAGCCTACCCTGTTGTGGGCAGCCCAGATGTTGCTATTTTAAATTATTCATTTTGAGTTTTTGGATGTGATTTGACCATTTGAAATTGTGCAACCAAATCTTTTTTTTTTTTTTTTTTTGTTAATATTTGAATCTGAAGATTTGAACATTGCAAAAAAAGTCAAATTCATGAGAATACATCCAGATACACAGTATTCAAAGTAAAATATTTCAATGGTATGAATTCAGTGGTGTTTGAATCGGGTTTGAATTCCATTATTAAGCAATAAGTAGCTGTTTAAAATCCAAATACTCATGTCTCTTATTAGCTTCCATACTGGACCTGCTGCATGACTGGATTAACCCACTAATATTAAGGGTCCTCAGGGCAATAATGAGGTGTGGGCCCTTAAATATTGACATGGGTCCCCTTCACAAAACAGGGTTGAAAGATAACATTTAACGTATTGCATTAAATGTTAAAACCTTACAACTTCATATCCATATATTTTCAAGATAGATAGATAGATACTTTATCAATCCCAAGGGAAATTAAGGCACCCAGTAGCTTTTTACACAACACATACAAAAACACAGATACACATATGGATGGAGAAAATAGGTAAAAAGAAAAATCTATAAAGAAACCATAAGAATAAAAAACAGCAGTGAAATGATAGTCTAGTCCCAGGACTACAACAGAGAGCTGTTGCTACAGTAGATATGCTTATGATGGTGCTGCAAATTTGATGTTGACAGAGCAGGTATTGCAGTGTAAGGTGATTAAAATGTAAGAGCAGTAATGAATACTTTGCTATAGATGATATGAATAAATATGAAGATAAATATATGTACAGATACCAGTGCAGATACAGATTTATTCTAGAATGTGCTTAAAAGATAAAAAATTAAAGACTGTATTAAATAAGGAATGTTGGAAAATATAAAGTATAAAAAGTACAGAAGGTGAAATATGTAATGGTAGCAGAAGATGGATAGTTAATTAAATATAAATACAAATAAGGTGTAAATATCTCAATGCAAATTGTGCAAAGTTAACATAACCAATACTCAGTGACAGCCCAGCAAAAAATGTTACCAAATATAATTTTGTTTATGTCATCATCTGACACATTTCTTTTAATGAATAAGTCATTTTTTTCAATCATGTTTTTGTAAATTTCAGATATTATTCTGTTGTTAAAATGGCATTACATTTGTTTAGAATTCGAAATTCAAAGTTCAGGACTTGAGACTCGAGTGCAACGACTTGAGACTAACCTGTGTGACTACTTTAACAATGACTCTGTCACACCTGTCCTATTTGCCCCTGCTAAATTGAGGCGGAGTCGTATGAACACAGAAAACTACAATACCCACAATTCCAAACATCAAGAGGAAGACCCAGAATTCCAGTCACGTGACGAAGTGTCACATGCTCCTCTGCACTCTATGGGCTGCCAAAACACAGACGGGCTCTGTCATATCCTGGAGGCTGATAATCACTGAAGGTACTGTTCCTCTCTGTCGGCATTTTATCTTCCTCACAGCGTTAAACAGCGACGAAATACAGCGTCTTTAAACGATGTGTAGAAATTTAATTGTCCGGTTCGTTTGGTAAAAAATTAGCTTGTTTGTATTGTGTATTCAGCTATGTGTAACGTTTGCTAGCTAGCTATTGTGTGACAGAGTAACAAAGGGGTTGACTGCGTTCACCAATGTTATTGTTGCGTTTATGAAAAGAAAAGGAATAATCTAATCACATTAAAAGGTGTGGTGTTTAACCTGTAACGTTATCTGGTGCCGGTGTGGCAGCTGAGGGTGTGTTTGTGTGAGATAAAGTTAAGCTAGCAGTGAATTAAACTGAGGTCAGCTGGACAGTGTCAGCACCCTGGTCCCAGTAAGGTTGGTTTGACTTCTACTTCTGTGGTCTCTGTAGACATTGTTTAAGCTTATTGGTTATTTAATGAGAGTTTCACATGACATGCTTTAAGTATCTGCCAAATTATCTTTATTGTTTGAGATATATGTCTGTTTCCCGTCTCATTGTTGGTGTTAACATTACATGATCTTGTTATAGCATATGCCACTAAATACAGTGACTTAAGAGAAGTGTCACTGTCTTTGAAACTAACTAACTAACTAACTAACTAACTAACTAAATAGATAAAATCTAATTACCTCTATCTAGTTTGGCTTTTATACGAGGCTCAATCCTCTTGTGTTTTATTCCTAAGACCACATGCATATCAGTATTAATGGCAGCCAGCATTAAAGGGACATTGTCTAGTCTTTTACAGGTCCCTTATGCGCTGTAATCAGATTATTAAATTGAAGTGAGAGTCTGACTTTAAAGTGTCCATTATGTCTTTCTTTGTGTGAAGGTATGCATTCCTCAAACTGTTAAATTGGTTATCAGGTCACCCACTATGATCCTGACTACGCTCTTCCTTGTTTGTTATCAGGAGATAAGATGGAAACTATTTAGGAAATGGCTCATCAAAACTTTGCATTGTTGGCCCCCCTGGAACCTTTTGAAATACTCAAAAAGACCATGTGGGTCAATAGTAATGTAGGCTTCATGTTAACCAAGAGTTTGAAGGGATAGTTCAGATCTTTTAAAGTGGGTTTATAAGGGGTACTTATCCATAGACCCTATATTACATTACATACAGCATATGTCAGCCAGGATGCCCCCAGTTTGGAGAAGCAGGCTGGAATCCAACATGGAAGCTACGCCATCTGCTATTGTGGAGGGTCCAGCAGCAACGTGTATTTCAGCCAAAAATGTGCCACCTAAAATAGTTTAAGTTTACACTATATATATTGAATATTGTCAGTGCTTAACCTGGCTGTCAGACAGTGATTTCCAACTGGACAATGAAGCGGTTATATTGCTTTCTTCAAAGCTAGAGTCCATTTTGTTTGTGTTATTGTGTGACTTTGGTGATTTAAAGGGTTTGTTCAGATTCACCAAAGTCACACAATAACACAAACTAACTAACTGATCGAAGCAGCGGTAGACCAACAGCTAACATTACCATGTACAGTGAGCTGAGCAGAGTCTGGTGGCTTTGACGAGAGCAAAGATGGGGACTGAAGGTGTTAACCTCTTCCCCAGTGGAATGGGCTGTCTGATGAAAAGGTAAAGTGGTGAAAATACTGTCCGTATAGCGTACACTTTAATTCGTATTGATGTTTTTAGATGGGACTTTTTTTTTAATTTCTTTTGTTGCTGCCCACCATCCACAGCAGTACATCGCTTAGTTTCTGTGTCAGATTCCAGCTTGCTTCTCAAAAACAAAGCGCTCCGACTGACATCTACTGTATGTGATTCACTGATGGTTAGTACCACATACAACCCCACTTCAAAAGATCCAATCTATCTCTTTAACAGCCATCTGTTGCACAATGGAGACAAAAATGTCTAACCTACCTTGACTTTTGACATTATATTTAGTAAGGTTAATTGTTAAGTAAGAATTACAGTTCAGTCACCAGTGATAAGAAAAAGAATTTGCTTGGGAACTAAAGTTTCTTCCACGAATACAGAGAATAGGTACTGTGCTGAGAAGGACTCCTGTGCTTGACATTTGTTCATGATAGCCGGATCCAAACACTGAGAGCTACTTAACACTCATTTACTCCGTATGGTGATATGATATCAGCACTATGCATGCCCAAGTTTTATTTACCAATGCAAGTGTTTCTAAATGCAAACAATATTTCATTACAGATAACTGAATGGCTCCACCATCAAACTGACACGGGTGATAACTTTGAGAAACATCAGCTGCCTCCTGACTGGGACTTAAGAGACTGGACATTTCTGATCAGCATAGATCAGACTGGGATCCAGAGAGGTGGAGACTAATTTTCTGGGGAGCGTGCGGCTTGGCAGAGCTACAGCCTGTTGACTAATGGCGATTAACACTGATGTCGAGGACTGGGGCGCAGTTGGGAGTAATGACTCCGGGGAAAGGGCGTGGCTCTTGCAGAGCCCCAGCGTGGATTCTGTCCGGCATCTTGAGACAGACACAGATAGGAGCGGGGGGGTGTCGTCTTGGGCAGCGGTCTTTATTGTAGTGAATGCAGCACTGGGAGCCGGTCTGCTCAATTTCCCTGCAGCCTTCAGTATGGCAGGAGGAGTGACTGCAGGAGTTATGCTTCAAATGGTGAGGAGATCCCAGTGAGGCAATAAATACTGTATGTCCCTTTTACAGGCCCTTGACCCCACTGCATGGAGCACGTCCGCAAACATTTGGTGTAATATGAGGAATTGGGCAGCAACCCACAATTCTGTTGATTAATGAGTGTGCAAAATGTCAGCAACAAATGTTTATCACATGTTAGAGACCAAAGGAATGTCTTAAAATTATTCACTATGACTACCACCATATACCTGCATTTAACATAACAGGGAGAAGTGTTTGACGTTAAGAGAAGCTGAAAGGAAAAAACGTGTTTCACTTCATTATTGACTAAATCTACTGTGGGATTATCTGTATTAAAGTTTCAGACAGAACCTGGCTTCAACATGTCTGCACACTACTTGACACAGAATTCTAAAGCTGACTACTGCTGACAGTATGAGTGTATTTCTGCGTTCTTGTGACCAACATAAAAATGCCTATAGATGATATTGTCGGGAACTCTAACGTGATGCTTCCTGTTTCTTTGTTTCAGTTTATGCTGATCTTCATAATCAGTGGACTGGTGATCCTGGGCTACTGCTCCCAGGTACGTGTCACTACAGGACTGTCAGATTCTGCCCTCCTCAAAGTCTTTATTCCCATCACTCACAGCTCCACTTGTTTCTCTTTCATTTTTTCCAACATGTTCTCCAGCCCTCTAAATCTGACTACATTTCTTTCACACCAGTATTTTTTTCTTCAGCGGCCTTGTGTAATAACTTTGTTCTGTGGTCATATTTTTGAGCAAATGAAGTGCATTGCACAACAGTCCAAGACTTTCATTTCCGGATGGCTCAGATTTGTGCTAACATGTTAAAACACAGTGACACAAGAGTCCACCTTTGAGTTATTTCAGTTGTTGTGACTGAGAAACGTGCAGAATATTGCTTTAATGTACAAAAAATCAGCCACATTCTGCAGCAGGGTGAATTTTGTGTTAAAGCATGAGGTACCGCAAGAGTCATTGACTCCATCTGTGTAGCTGACTGACTACACTCAATGGCCTTAAAGTAAAACCACCCCTTACTCAATAATCATGCTTTAAACTGAGGATGAATACAGTCAGCAGTGAGGCTTCTGCTGCAGGTTTACTTGGTGAGTTCAGAACACCTGTTTAGACGCTACTGAATTGATTCTGAATAGCTTGAAAAATGGCAGTAATGGATCAGTGTGTTCAGCTGGTGTACAAAAAAGTCAGTTGTCCCTACTGGAAAATGTGAAATTGACTTAGGACAAATATACATGTAACGTTTATCCTTTGTCTCATACCTTATATGGACTTTTGCTTTAATCTCCATTCATGCTGTGTTAAAACTGCATTAAAAGCAGAGCTTGCCAAATTTAAAACCATGTGTTATAGCAGCAGCAGATTATTTTTTACACTTGTCAGCAAAGAAAAGCAGAATGAACCTACTGTGGGCAGATGATTGACACAATGTCAGAATTCGTCATGATGCTGGTGGTGTTTTAACATTGTGGCAGAATGTTTTATTGACTCAGCATTAGGGCTGAACGATACGTGGAAACGATGATGATGTTTAACACACTGGACAGTGACTAAATAACTAGACCACTGTTCCAACACATTCCCTGCTGAATCCATATGTCTAGCCATTAATGATCTGTCTGGTTTCTTCAGGTCAGTAATGAAAGCACCTATCAGGAGGTTGTGTGGGCCACCTGTGGGAAAGTGACAGGAGTCCTATGTGAAGTGGCCATTGCTGTGTACACCTTTGGCACTTGTATTGCGTTCTTTATTGTCATTGGAGACCAGCTGGATCGCTGTAAGTATATTCACACTGATAAAGTGACTCACCCACCAAGCTGCTCTGTTTCTGTCCCATTTTATGAGATTGGTTTGACAATCTTTAATCTTAGTTTTTATTTTTCTTAAAACGATCAGTGTGTATCAATTACTCCCCCTATCTTACCATAAATTTGGAAAGAAAACTCTTTTCTCTTATGGCTCCACGTTGAATGAAGAGTCCAAAGCTGAGAAAATTCTTGATGAAGTAAACAGAGGCCGTCTTTAATAACAGCAAAACTATAGCAAAACATCAGTTTACAAACTCTCACACAACTTGTGCAGTATAATCCATTTCTCATTTATCCAGTTGTATGCTCAGTACTTCCCAAACGCATGCATTTTTGCTAAAACCTTACTGTTTAAAACACGAGTGGCGTGCCTGGGCATGTGTGTGTTTGAGGTCTGCATGGGCAGAGTTCAAACACAGCACTTGCTCAGGTGCTTGTTAGTTTTGCTGCTGTCAAAGCTGGACCCCTATCACTTTATCAAGAATTTTCTCTATTTTTGGATTCTTCATTCACTGTGGAGCCATGCAAGAAAAAAAAAGTCTTCTTCACGATTTCAAGACGGCATGTAGTGAGAAATTGATATAAGGTTCCTGCAGATCCTTAAAAAGTCCCAAAGGGCACCGAATTCATTAATGTAAAAATAATTAATTGATATTAAAATGTCCTATATCAATCCATCAAAGTCTTAAAATGCTCAGACATGGGAAGTACAATTTTATGAATCCTTTTTATCTGACATTGCTTTGTGAAATCTCAATGATTGGTTGCGTGTATTTTTTTAATCAGTTTGTTTTTTTATGGAATGCCTCTTGCATTAACGTCACACAGATCAGTATAGTTGAACCAACAACCCTCAAATTTTGTTTTTGGGCTGGATGCTCAGAGCATATGGGCCACTGTCTGTTAGCTACCTGGCACCATACCGCAGACGACATGGAGAAGTGCACCTTCAATGAAAATTGGCTATTTTACTGGCCTTAACCTGTAGCAACCCTGAATATACAAATGATCACTTTGTAGTCAAAGCATTCCTTTAGGTATATGTAATCGTCATAGTCATTGATCAGTCACCCCAGTTACAAGGACTTTGTCATTTTTGTCCCACATTAAGCTGTGACCTGTGTGTTGGAACAAAGGAAGACGTCTACTCGTATGTTGATAACCTTTATTTGTGCCATCACTGAAGGGCAAAGAGCACCAAGGATGACACCACTCAGCCTTTTCGCTCAGTAAATGTGATCCTCATGTGACTCACTCTTACATTTCCTTACGCTGAGATGCTGACAGTGTAGAAATCCTACTCCAGCCTGTCTCTGAAAGTAGTCCAGGACCTTCCACCTCCTTTGGTCTTGATAATTAAGGAATTGAGTAGTTGTGACTTTAATTATCTACATTGCTAAATCTTTTCCATGTGTCCACCAGTTTGGAGATCATTTCCACTGTGGCACTTTCCACTTTAACCCAGCGTACTTTATACTGCCTCCTTCTGTCTGTCTGTCTGCCCTCGTAAACGTCTTATGCAATTCCTGTTTTTTGTTACAGTGATGGATGCAGTGAATGTTGACACAGCTGATCCAGTCAGTGGCAATTGGTACACTGACCGCAAGTTTACCATCTGTGTTACTGCATTTCTGATTATTCTTCCTCTCTCCATCCCCAAAGAGATTGGCTTTCAGAAATATGCGAGGTACAAAACTTTCACTCAGCTTATTTTCTCACTGAAGATTAAAAACACTTTTCTTTGCACAATGATCAGATCTGAGTTGTTATTTTTCATTTTAGCGCACTGAGTGTGATGGGAACCTGGTATGTGACCATCGTGGTCATCATTAAGTACATCTGGCCAAGTAAAAATATGACTCCGAGCCACATTCCTGACGGGTGAGCTCTGCACACACTTCATTATGCTACTCTTACCCTATGCAGCCAACAGCTTTTTCAGAACGTTTCAGTAATTATTTAAGCACTGTCCACCCACTCATTCATGCAGAAACATCTGCATCCTCGTCGTCATGCTTTGCTTGAGTGGCTAAATTGTTGTGTTTGTTACAGTTCTGCTTCCTGGACTGCAGTTTTCAATGCAATGCCCACCATTTGCTTTGGTTTCCAGGTATCTCTTCATTTGGTATCATTTGAGATCATAAAACTATATGCCTTTCTTGCAAACAGAAATTGATATAAATGCAATATTTTTGTCTCATCTTCTTTCTCCTGACGTCTCTCTGCAGTGCCACGTCAGCTGTGTGCCGGTGTTCAACAGCATGCGCAGAAAAGAGATTAAACCTTGGGGAATTGTGGTCACTTTTAGCATGATCATCTGCCTCTTCGTCTACACAGGGACAGGTATTGTTAAGCTGTGCACTTATTACTCATTAACCAGACCCAAGAGGAGTGTGCAGATTTTGTTGCAGTTTTCAGCTGTGATAGCCGTGGCCGGAGGCATTATGTTTTCGGGTTGTCCATCCATCTATTGCATTCTTGTGAACGTGATATCATAAGAACACCTTGAGGGAATTTCTTCAAATTTTGCAAATTTGCACAAACGTCTACTTTGACTCACCGTGACCTCACATAACATGTTTTTGGCCATAACTTGAGAATGTATGCACTAATTCTTCATACGAATGTCAAACAGGATATAATGATGAAGTAGCGACATTTTATTATTCAAAAGGTCAAAGGTCAGCTTCACGGTGACATCATCATGTTCTGCAAAAACACTTTTCTGGCCATTGTTCAATGCCATATCTCAGGAACAGAAGGGGAGACATTTGGTCAGATACTGAATTGGTTACACTAATCTTGGGTGTCCACCTTGAAAGTCTGCTGATTGTATAGATCTTCTGTGCTGCCAAGGGGACAGTGGGTGTGAAGCATCCATGTTTTCACAGACATTGATCCAAGCTGTAAGTGCAGCTTTACTTGGATCACAGAGGCATAAAACTGTGAGGTGTTAATTCCTCATTGTAAATCTGAATTCTCCAGGTGTAAATTCTGTGTGGGCCCCTATTACTTTGAAAACAGTCATTGTAAACTGTCTGTATTAGTGAGATATCTGTTTCAAAATCCCCACGTTATAACAGGCTCGAGATCATGTACTGTAGCCACTTAGATTGTTGTCTCGTCCCGTGGATCAGATATGAAGTTGTTCCTGATCTTTAACATGTCACCGGTCGGACTGTTTCAGAGTATTTACATGTCAGCTTAGATTATGCTGACAGCACAAGACACCTACTGTGGCACTGTTACGAGTCAGATGGCTCGACTTGCTGTCAATACTTAAAAGTATTTCACTGCTGGAAAGATGGTGTTTTCATAAAACTGGGCTGTCTATGTAGTAGAAAGGCGAAAATACTTTTGAAATCGGTGCTACGTGACCAGAGGAAAGAGGAAAAGGCTAAGGCATTTGCTTTTGCTCTTGTAGCTGGGAGATAAACAGGGAAAGCAGGGTGCTGGCAAGATGGAAGGAAATTTACCACAGATCATTTACACACACTACCCACATTGTTATGATACAAAGCTGTTTGAAAATTGGCAAACTATCCCTTTAAATGCTTGTGATTCATCAGGTGTCTGTGGCTTCCTGACATTTGGCTCCAATGTCAGTCAGGATGTGTTGATGTCGTACCCTCCGGATGATATTGCTGTGGCCATCGCGAGAGCTTTTATTGTCATCTGTGTCATCACCTCCTACCCCATCTTACACTTCTGTGGCAGGTAAGATCCAGTGAAAATATGCATGTTTTATTTCCACGCTTCTGGTCTCACTGTTGTTAGGATTTTTTTCATTGCACACGCCTAAAAAGACTGTTGTGTAATGAATATTTCCACTTATACTGCAGAGATGTGTAGCTACAGCCTCACGTTACCTTATGCCTACCATACATTAGAGGACATTGCAAAGGCTCTGAAAATACTTTAAAAAGACTAAAGTCTGACACCCTCTCATATCTAAATTTAGTCACAGACTAAAAGATTTTTCAAATATGTGGGATCTTGCAGTGTCACTATTTGCAAGACTACAACTAGATGCCTTTTGAGGTTATTTCAGTACACAGTGAGATAAACAGATTTAATAAAGAGCACTGGTATTGGATCAGCCCTGTAAGTACTACAACATGGGATCAGTGCATCCCCAGTGTGTGTGACAAAAACAGCTGTACTGATTTTACAGTTGATGTAGCATTTCCTCACTGCACTCTGGTGTAATCATGTGACCTTCCAGGGCAGTCATAGAAGGACTTTGGCTGCGTTTTCAAGGCGAGCAGGTGGAGGTGTGTGTGCGCCGTGAGCAGAGGAGGAGAATCCTGCAGACACTGGTGTGGTTTACTGTCACCCTTGTCCTCGCCCTCTTCATCCCAGATATTGGTCGGGTGATCTCGCTGATCGGAGGATTGGCAGCCTGCTTTATCTTTGTCTTCCCAGGTAACACTTCCCTCACAGTTTGCAAGATTTCAGATTTCTGCATATGTCTAATGTCGCACTGAACTGTCCGTCCAATGTCTCTTTAACTTGACAGGTTTGTGTTTGATGCAAGCCAAGCTGTCAGAGACAGATAGCCGAACTGCAAGGTGAGATGCTGCTTACTCCCAGTGTGGGGGAGGAGTTAACTACATGTAGTTCAGTTACTAGTTAAACCACGATTAGCATAGTTGGGTGGCAGTTTAACTTCATTGAAGTCTGAGTAGCTTTTTCAATTCTTTACTACTGTGAGTCATGTAGTTTGTTTAGTTAAGTTAATTATAGACTACATATTTATAGTATTCTCATGAAGTTTTTTGCCATACAGTATGATACAATGCTACAGCTTTTTGGTCACAGTTGTCATTTCATGACAATCAGTTGCCACGTAACTAAAGTTGACTGAATACTATGCATTCCCCTAAAGGTTTAGCATTTTGCCTGATTCCACTCCAACTATTGCTCCCTATCCTCTCCATAAAACACATCCTTGGGCAGCTGAGGGGAGGATTGACCTGTCCTGGTCCCTAAATCAAACACACCGACACTTTGCTCACTTCTTTGTCAGTTCAGTTGCACCTTTATGTAACAATATGAGATTTCATTACATCATGATTATTTCCCGTGATGTAGTTGAACTACTTTTCCAATCTAATCTGACTTCAGCAAGCTAAAAAAATTTGGGAGTAGTTACAATGTAGATTAACCACTTTTCATTGGCAAGTAGCTGATATTTTGGTAAACTTTGGTTTTCATGTAGCTTCCTGGATGCTGCTTATTCCTGGATGTCTTTCAGTTTCTTCTAAACTGATTAGATTGTAGTGCACAGCAGAGCAACAAGGCCATTAGCTGTAACCCCACAAGAGGCCTTAGAGTGTGAAGTTTGCGCTCTCTTTAACTGGAGTGGTCCTTGAGTGCTGCATTGTGGCTGCCCCTTTGCTACTATACAGTAAGGAGGGGTCAAACACAGAGGATAATTTCTTAACAGGGATTAATGGAGATGCATTATCATACTTTGGCCATTTGGGTGCTGAAAACCATCAAAACAAGCTACCACAATATCACCAGCTTATGGAGTTGTCATGTTTATCCAAACAACTGACTGTAAGACATTCAGCAGACAAATTAACGTAGCTCTCGTAGAGCTGCAATGATAAATTGATTGATTAGAAAATTAATCTGCAACTATTTTGATATTAAATCAATTGTTTGAAGCATTTCTTGGGCAAAAATGCCTAATGTTCTCTGGCTCCAGTTTTATAACAGCGTAAACTCTATATTGTTGAGTTTTGGTTAGTTGTTGGAATAATCAGCAGATTAATTAATAATGAAAATGTTAGTTACTGCCCTAAAAGAAACTTAAACACTTGAATCTGCACAGTTGGGTGTTGTTTTTTGTAATTTTGGCTCTATCACTGAAAATATGTTTCATGCAGATTAAAGTAAACTTATGTCCTTGATGAGAAAGCTTCTTTAACGTCGGTCTCTCTGTTACAGTTGGCATGGATTGGTGATCTTCGGTGTTGTCATGGTTACGATTGGAGCTTTCATCTTTGGTCTCACCACGTCCAACTCCATCTATAAAGACATTGTCAGCTAAAAGGAACAGATTTATCAGCAGTGTTTAAGATGGGGGGGGGGGGGGGGGGGGGGGGGGGGCGTAGTCCTGTGCTGCTATACTGAACTATGATGGAGAAGCATCTCATGACACTCATTTTACAAAATCAACTCCGGCATGTCACACCCCTGCCCCATACTGAGTTAAAGCTCCACAGCTCTGTACTCAGTCAGGTAGTAGTCAGAGCCACCCCACAATGCCAAATGACTTCAGACACTTTGCCTTTTATTTAATGTACAGTTTAATTTGCATGTTTTTACGATGGTTTTAACTTGCAGTGAAAACCGTTTGACTGTTCAGGGGCACCGAGGGGCCTCCCCCATCTCTGGATCCGGTATGGGTGACACATTACTGTCCTGTTTACAAGAGCCAAAGGACTTTGTATAAAAAGGTCTACGATCAAATTGATTTTAACAATGAAATTGTACCAATTTGTGTATTTTAACTTGCATGTCAAAGTAAATGATTCTTATTGAAAAAGACATGCAGTGGTTTTCAGGTCTCATCCAGGTCCAGACTATGTTGCCACTGCTGATAGTTTGACCACAAATTAATAACTCAGTCTCAAATGGAATATTCAAGTGAGTGATACAATTGCACGCAAAATCATTAATGAGTGTTGGACAGTTCAAATCTTACTGATTTGTTAACTTTCAGTCAGTACCTCCTAAACGAGCTGGAAAAAGTGAGCTGTTCAACTGTTTGGGCAATGAACGCTAACTGTATTTATGGTTGCAATGATATCAGTATTTTAATGGTACAATAACTGTCTCAGAAAATATCATTCTCATGGTGTCACTGTATATGGTATTATCATTATAATCAGTTATGATTATAAATTATAAAAGGAATAAAAACACGGGATTGTTTTGGTTGAAAAACACTTTTAACACTTTATTATAGTTTAAAATTGAAACCTTTTTTAATGGAAGTCTGAAAAATGTCTGACAGGCAGTTGAGGAGGAAAGGAGATGTTCACCACAGGTTAGATAGTCTGTGTGGCATCCATCAGTTTTCATACCATGGTATACGGTAAATCAGTTAACCGCTGCAACCCTAATTGGACTTATGAGGGGTTTTTTTTAAATATATTTTCTAAAGTTAGCAGTATGATGATCATTTTTAATTGGCTTTGGGGTGAAATCATATTTTTTGTGCTGTTGCTGTACAAAGTTACATTCATTTAAGTCTGAAGGCCGTTAAAAAGGCCAGTCAGTTAAATGTGCAGAACAGTTAATGGGTTAAAAGGCAGCTATGTGCCTCCCCAAACACTGCACAGACCTGCAGAGTGCCCAAGCAGAGCACCACCTCCACAGTGAGGATATGAAAAGTCAAACTCCTCCAAGAGTGCCGGTTCCTCACAGAGTGTGTTTCAAAATGATACTGTCTTTATGAATGTATGAAAAGAACAGATGTAACAAACTACACAGAATTCAGTTTGCACATAATTTCCTAAAAACAGCTGGACTTGTTAATGAGGCTACAGACAGCTTCACTGTCAGTGAGGACAAGCCAACCAGTCAAACCGGGTGTGAAGTTTTATCTACTTGAATCACAAGACTGCAGACTTTGTTTTGAGCTTGAGTATGAGAGGTTAGACATAATCTCTCTTTTTAAAACCTAAAACTAAAGTGTGAGCATTTGTTTTATATGCCCCAATGTTCAAGACCTGGTCTATTCAACACTAATTTAAGATGTTTATAATACATGACAATTAAGTTGCATTAAAGGTATACTATGCAGGATTGTCTGTCACTGCTTGTGAACATGCTGGCCTGTGAAAGTGAAAGTAAAAGCGAACCCCAGATTCACTCTCGTTTGGCATTCACCTCCCTATGTTTTGCTTTTTGCCTGCTGCTTCCAGTCTGGCACCTGGTTGCTACCATTTTATAAAGTCCCAACCTCACCTGAGTGCTGTGGGGTAACAAGCCCATAAACACCCTGAACACAGAAAAGTAAAATACAGGCAGAGGGCAGAGACTCTGCAGAAAAATACACGCCACACGCTTCTAATGGTTCACAAGTGATGAGCGAGAGGGATTGTTTCTATACATTGTTTTTCAGAAAATCCTGCATAGTGTATCTTTAAATAATTTCATTACACGTAATTGTTTTTTCAACCGAGCTTCAGACGCAGCTGATGTACATTTAAAATAAGGAATGTGTTCAGAGGTTACAATGAAGTGGTAATCAAGACCTATCCGAGTGGATTTAATTCCTGGTTTTACATTTATTTAATTAAGGACATTAAGGACAGTAAAGGTAAAAGGGATTTTTTATTTTTTTTACTCTGCTCATGGAAGATCAATTACATTGTGTTAGTCATACTGTTAGACTGGATATATTTACAGTATACTTTAAGGAAGGGAAAGAAACCACAGTCATAACAGGAATGCTGTCTGTGGCCATTACGAAACTGGTTATTATTTTGTTAATGTCTTGAAATCACTGTTGCAATACAAATTGTTTTTATGTTTTTTTTTGGTGTTTGTGTTGAAGCATTTGTGTCAAATGTTTATTTTTTTTCTTATCTTTTTGGTGCTACAGACAAGAGTTAATGTGGTCATGAGTGAATGTCAGGTGCATTTATGGTTTCTGTCACTGATTTACTGTGTTTTCAGGCTGAGGATGTACAAGGCATTTGTTAATCAGAAATCGTGTGTCCCTGTTGTCTCGTACAGAAAGCTGACTTGCACACATGAAGTTCATGGCAAGTTTTATTGAAAGTAACAGAGCACTCTGTGATGCTCCAATAAATTAACTACAATCAAGGAATGTGAATAAATCTGACAATCCAAGTGTCACTGGCTGTTTAAAACATTTAATAAAGAGACAAACGCAAGTGAAGTTGCAGTTTTGATCGAGACAGTTTGAGCATCAATTAAGATTAGAACAATCACCATGTATTACACACATACAATGAAAACACCAAGACTCAGCTTTACATCAGTGCCACAGGAAAAAGCCTCCATTGATCATATTAAGTGCAGTCTTAAGTATCTGGAGAAGGACAGTGTCTGTTGGCTTTTTGTTTTGCACATTAAATATGAAATGAAACTGAGGTCAAAGTTCTGACTTTATGAAGGGGTTTCACTTCTACTTGGGGTGAACAGTGAAGGATTTGTGCCTTGTTTTATACACATGTAGTTCCCCAGTTTCAGGACAATGCAGTAGCACAAACAAGACGACAAGGCCACCAAAACTTTAAGGCTAAACAGAAAGTCGTTAACAGGCCACATCACTCAGAACCTCCATCTAACTGAGCAGGGGCTTTTTACTTACTGAAAACCAGACTTAAGGCACATGTTCCACATTTAAAATGAAGATACTGTATAAAAAGGGTTCCTACATATAAGCCCAATATAGATGCCAACATCCTCAAACGTTGTACTTCAATTGTTCACTTTCAAATCTGATCTAAAGCCAACAACAAATAGTATGTCTCTCTCCAAACACTCAGATTTCACTGAAGGTCATTCATTAACAAAACAGAGGATAAGAATAAGTTCCCTCACAGTCCCTTTACCTACAAACTCATCTTCCCTGAGAAAAAAATGTACCATCTAACAAGTGATGAGTGCAGGTATATCCCATACAGCAGTCTCCATCATGGCTCAGTATGAGCCATTTGTTAGGAAAGACTGGAACATGTGGAAAGCTGGACCCGGAGCCCACTGAGGAACCATGTGACCTGCACCCTGAAACACAGAGGACAGTGGTATTTCACTGCAATGCAACCATATCTCACACGTGAAAAGGGGCAACCATGCTTCTAATTAGACACTAAACATCACGCTGGTGGTTACCTTGACTGTCAGGAAAGTGATGTTTCCGAACTGTTGGTAGAAACCAGCAATCTGGTCATCATAAAGCCAGGTCTTGTACCTAGTGGTTGCCTGAGAAAAACAAGAGGTGCGTCTGGTTGTAGTTTGAGGGGAGGAAAAAATGTGTGTTTTTATTATTCCCAAAATGAAAGTTCTTACCTTCATGCCAAGGTCTTCCACAAACCACTGGTCTCCCAGGAAGTTGCAGGCCATGTCAGTGTCTCCGTTGTAGACGAGCGCCCTCAGGCCCAGAGAGAGCAGCTTTAGATACACCTCCTTCACTGTTGGGTACAGGTTGGTGTAGTGCTCCCCAACGACATCACTCCGATGAAATTAAAAAAAAAACAATAATTTATTATAATCATTATCAACATGCCCCTGACGTCCTATCTAACCCACACAGAAAAGAGGGAAAAGGCTTCAGATATGAATTACCATCACTCTAATTTCAAAATTTTAAGGTCCAGTGTGTAAGATTTAGGGGCATTAGTGGTGTCAAGCAGTGTGGATTGCAGATTGCAAACAGCTCCAACTTCTCCCAGTTAGATTTCCCCCAGTGTTGATTGTTGATCGGGAGCTGAGTTATCTGCAGAGGTCTCCTCCTCTCCAAAACAAAAACAGACCAGCTGATTGCAACCAGCTACAGTGGCATGGCTAAAACATGAAGGTCCAGTGCAGTGTGTAGGGCCACCGAACGGCTCCTCTGCGGCAAGAGCGTCAGAAGAACATGAAGCTGCTTTATTTCGCGTCTCTACTGGTTTAAATCAACTTGTATGTCTGTTTTAACAATAGAGGAGACCCCTGCAGATAATTTGGCTCCTGCTTAAAAGCCTTCTGAACAATGAACACTGAGGGAATTCTAATTCAGGAGAAGTTTCAGTTGGTTAAAATGTGCAATCTTCACTTCTACACACTACTAGATCTCCCAAAATCTTAATGGGGACCAATACTTTCAATAAGGAGCTAGTGATACACTGGAATCACAGCTCCCTTCTGATAAAATTCACGGTGGCATCACATTCATTATTTAGCTGTTACACACCTGCAGATGTCCCAGGGTGGCAGTGTATCTGGAATGTGTAAAGCTTTCCTCACGTCGCCTCTGTTCAGCCAGTTCATCTGAGCCGTACTGTTGATGCAGGGAGGGACTTCACCCAGAGACACAGAGGAGGGTGTTCCATCTGAAACCTTTATTTAAGATTTTTATCATTAAAGCTACGACACATTAAGAAGAATTTGAAGCACAGGCACATGGGCAAACAAAACACTCACCTCGTGGATGTGAGAGTGTTTTCTGTACTTCCTAAACAGGTGAGTCATGGTCCTCTCGTAGCTTCTGTAGGACCTTCTGCCACCCTCACAATCCAAGTAAAGGGCATACTCATTGAGTCCGCTGTTATACACAATGCCAAAGGCCACCATCACCTGAAGGGAGACAAGGACAAAGTCAAATCTAAACGAGTCATCCAGTAGTACCAAACATGCCCAGCTGAATATTGAAGAAACAGTGCACACATACCAGAGTCGTGCACATGTCTGAACTGGAGTTGTAGAAGTTGCAGGTTCCCTTGTCACAGCAATTTATGTTCAGGTCACGCCACAAACTGCACATAAAACATCGTGTCAAATGACAACCACTGCATCAGCTGCATTTGAGTGATTTATAACCTCTGTTAGTAGCTAGGGACCGTCCCTATATCACCTGTTACACTGAATTCTCTGGCAGAATTAAAAACGTTTGTGTGTCATTTCATACTGAAGGTTATATGTGCATCATTGCTGACTGAACCAGGGTAACACTAACATCTGATGACATTGCTTTTTGACTTTATTCCCTCAAAGTAAACAAACTTCCTCTACAGCAAAGTGCCACTTACTCTTCTCCAAAGAGTCCGTGGTAGTAACCAAAGTAGATCAGAGACTGGTCATTGAGAGCAAAGCTGCTGAGGCCATTTCCCACTGCAAAGCCCTGAAAAGAAACACATGTTCAAGATAAATACTACAAGTTAAAACTTCACTTCTGTTTAACTGCAAATGTCTTTTCTGAGTTTCACAAAATAACATCTCTTCCTTCATGAAACTGCATTCTGCTGGTGGTGGTGCTGATACTGAGCAGTTGATGGTGCTATTGAGCTAAACGTCTGAGGCTGAAGGGAAGTTTAAGTAGTCAGATCTATTACTTAAGAGTTGCAACAACAGTGTAGAAATACTGTTACAAGTAAAAGGCAAACAAACATTCACATACAAAAGCATTAAAATACTTGAAGCACCAAAAGTTAAATTGTTTGTAATACAGAAATAAAACCTAATCTAAATAATCTGGAATCTGTCTGATTAAATGATCAGATAAATGTAGTGGAGTAAAAAAGTACAATATTTTCCTCTGAAACATAGAAAGTACAGAGTTTCAGAAAATTTAAATACTCTAATTAAAGTACCTAAAAACTGTATGTACTTAAGTATACTTGGTTGCCTTCCACCACTGGGTGCATGAAACATCTCACCTTGAAGTTGATTTTGGCGGTTCCAGTAGCCACGCGCAGGCTGAGTGTTGGTGCATAAATTCCACCGTAACTTTCGCCAAAGATGAAGAACTCATTCTGAGTGAAGTTTGGGAACTTGGTGAAGAAACTCTGCAGGGCTTTGTAGTTATCATCAGCGACCTAAGAGAAGAACACATGAAACGGAAAGCCCTTCTTCACATTTCAAAGTGAGCCTGTCAGTTACTGAACTCACCTGGTCATCATCGGTGGTGTATTTCTGGTCATCAGAGTATGAATATCCCACTCCTGCAGGAGATTCCAGGTACAGCACATTGGCGATCTTGTTCCAGCTGAAATTGTTCTCATACAGTGTGGCCCCATTATCATTTACCTGAAAAGGTGAAAAGGAAAAATGCCTATTCATAGTCACATGTTACTCAGTGAACAGGTGTAGTTGTGCACAAACTTAGCTTGCTCACATGAAATGGTCCGTTCTCTGACAGGAAACCATCCAGTGAGCTGCAGCCTGGGCCTCCATTCAGCCAGAGCACCAGAGGGTCTTTGACCGGGTCCCTCTGAGAAGTCACAAACCTGCAGGAGATCAGGACCAGGGTTAAATGACACTGACAGGTCATACACCTGGTGGGGTCTAAATGTCTAAGACCACTAGCCAAGAAAACTTAAATGAATTTCAGAATATTGTCTTTATGAACTGTCTCTGCTTTCGTTTTCTCACTCTTCTTTAGAGTCCACGAAAGTCACTACTCTTGGTCTTCTAGTAGTTGTTGCAAAGCTTTGAGGTGTGTATCCTGCTGCAGTATAAATCCTTCCCCACACAGATGCAAACCAAAGGTGTCTCTGATTGATGCAGTGGTACTTCTCCTCAGTCAGGGTGTAGTCAGTTCTGTGCTTGTGTCCAACTCTAGAGTAGGCAGAACACCCCCAGACTTAAATATTCTTGCCACCATGTTTTAGCGTTGGTTTGATACACTGCGGTATCATTCTCTCTCCTGTGTCCTTACATACACCCCTCTGTTACTGCCATACATTTCAAACTTGGATTCAGCAGTAAATAGGAGTTTCTGGCCCACCCCAAATGTTTGGCCTTGTTTCCCCTCCTGAGAAGTGGTCCAGAATCTGCTACTCATCCTGCGAGACAACAAGATGTCCTTTTTTTTTGGACAGTACTGTTGCAGTTAGGTGTCTTAAGGTTTCTTTTGGTCTTCCTGATTGTACTTTGGATACAATTAAACCCTGTAAGCAAAACATTTTAGAGCTCTGTGCACTGCCCCCTTAGACATCTTTAGTCTTATCATTATTTGACACTGTAAAAGCCGGTCTCTACTCTGGATATCAAGTTGACTTCAGATGCCTTGTTTCCCAATATCACAATGCTGTTTGGTGAGGAATGACCTGCTGAAAACTTGAGGCACAGCCATATTTTTAACAGTTGAATGCTGGCTGCATTGAATTATTTAACAAGCCTCAGATGAGTGGCTCTAACCCACCTGGGTACCATTTGAACACATGCTCCAAAGGAGGGGATACAATTCAAGGAAATCTGACCTTTTATGTAGTTATGAAGTTTATCAATGCAAAAAAATGCTTAAATGTCACTGCTGATCTAGAAATGTTGCAGGACCATTTTACATGTGTGTTACATGTGCTTTTCAGTGTTTCCGAACCCTAAAACTTTCTGATTATTTCAAAGCTGGCGTGAAAATAGATTTTCAATGTGGTCTCAGACTTCTGGACCCCACTGTACCTCCACACCTGACAAAGTCCGGCTGAATTTGGGTGGAGCATGTAGGTGAGGCTTGTTGAGAAGCTGCAGAAAGCCAGTCGTTGACTGTTTCTTACCAATAATGTAGGAACTTCCCGGGCCGTGCCTGGAGGTATCCCGACCACTGTCGATAGTTGGGTTTGAACGCCATACCTGGCAGGTGAGTGACCTCATCAGGAGCGTACTGAGCCCGCGAGCCGAGCTGAAACACGGCCAGCAAACACACCAACAAGCCTCCAGCCGACATCACTGAACCGCACTGACTTCTTATGACAGAGATAACTTCACGCGACACGACACGGCAGAGACAAGTTACACCAACTTCCTCAACGGCTGTTTCGCGTGAAGAAGACAAACCCGCACGTCATATGACTACTGCCGCGGGCCACGTGACCAGCGCGTGACTCTACACGGAAGTCCTCAACCACAAAACACAAGCAGGTGTGAATTGTAATCAGTTTATCACATTTTTAAAAAAGAAAATGAAAACATTTTTATATGACAAACATATTACACTAAAGCAACACAAATAAAAAGCAAAGACAATGATAAAGACATTTTATATTATTTGTTTTTACAAAGGCAGTGTTTCTCCATTTACATTATATTTTCCCTTGAGAATAATTACTTTTTCCATCAAATATATAACCCATTTGTTTAAAGGTTATTCATGTAATACAGATGGCATCACTTTCCAAAACTGTTGAACCCCTAAAATTTTTTTTTGTTTTTAAAAAGCAAATCAGCCTGAAAAAATGTTTGTTCTTCAGAATAAAATCTATTGAGGAGTTTAGGAGGAGGCTCCTTGATTAACAACTGCACAATGCAGATAACTCCCTCATGGCAAGACCACCAGCCATGGGCTCCAAAACAGCCCTGCTTCACATGGTTTTGTTCATTTCATGAAAGGAACAGTGTGTAAAATTTAGGGGGATTTAGTGGCATCTAGCAGTGAAGACTGCAGATTGCAACCAGCCAAAACTTCTCCTGGTTCGAATTCCCTCAGTGTTCATTGTTCAGGACGTTTTTACTGGGAGCTGAATTATCCACAGAGGTCTCTCCCACTCCAAAAAACAGACCCAGGGATTTAAACTGGTAAAAACACAGAATAAAGCACTTTCATGTTACAAATCCATGTATTTCAGATGCAATTTGGCATGTCACCGCGGGCGGCTACACCAACACATGGTAATGTGTGGTCACCTTTTTTCTCAGATAACATAAGATCCAGACGTTCAGGAGGTTTTCACAGGAAGCCAAATTATCCACAATGTTTTTTTCCTCTCCAAAACAACCCGGTGATTTAAACCGCTAGAAACATGGAATAAAGCAGTTTTAAAGGGGGCTGCAAAAATGAAAATGGCCGGATTTAGAGCCAGTGTTTGGTTTGTTGGTTCTGGGCTATTGTGCAACTTGGCAAACAAGGATCTGCTCCCAATGAAGACATAAAAAGCTCATTCTATGGGACTAAAAACACAAAGAGTATACACTAAAGAAACATACTTATTTTATTATATTTCATTTCTGCCAATGTATCCCCCTAAAGCCCACACACTGAACCATAAATTGCATGTTTATTGAACAATGTTATTGAACTAGTTTTAAAGTTCAATGTAGATGGAATACATTTTTTTTATCAAGAAAGAAAGGAAAAACATTCCGTTAATAACTCTTTAAAAGTGCCCTTTAAACTTTTGGTATCACTTTAACAAGAAAGGATTTTATTGTGGTCGTGCCAAAGTGGACTTTTATTTTGAAGGCAGGCACACACAGCTACCGGAAAAAGTACGCGCCCCTTACTCCACTACAGTAGGGGTTGGCTATCAGTGAAGTTGGGACGCTGCTATAAACATTCGGCTCTAGATTTAGAATAAACTGTGGATAAATGTTTCTGCTCGCCAAAACCTATATCTCGAGTTAAAATATCGTTGGTTGTCGTCGTCTGAACTGCAAACGTTAGCTTAGTATCGTCGGTAGCGACTGTTTGTACCGTTGTTCCCGAAAACACCAAGGTAAAAACACTTTATCTCGTCATTTTCTTGTTTGTCGCTTAAGTTATGTGGACAGCATGTTTGTTTGTATTAGCGTCCCGTCGAAAATCTAAAAGTTATTAAAAAGTGAAAGAAAGAAAAAACTAACTACACACGGATGAGAATATACACAACATTTTAGTGTTTCCGGAAGAAACCTTTCAAAATAAATTTGCGCTATAGCGAAACGAACAGTGGTATACGAAAAGACGCAAACTACATGACAAAGTTTGTCTTCCCCAAAGTGTTCCTTTCACAATATCTAATTAACTCCACATTAACCTACAAACGAGGGCTCATAGGGAAACCCTGACAAGATTTTATTTCGAAGTAAAGGTGTTTCCAGTTGTGTGGAGCGGGCTCTGTGCAGCTGATTCAAATGGCACAGCTCAGGGAGGCTCCCGAGTTCATTTGTTTTCCTCTCACGTCCAGCAGAATGGATCCTGAAGGTAGCCCACACAGTGCAGATGAAGAGACCGCCACCCCAGACCAGATCCCCAAATACCAGAGGAGTATGAGGAGCCTTCATATGCTCGCCACGAAGTTTCTGGTCTTGTTACAAGAAGCTGATGGCGGTGTGCTGGACCTCAAAGACGTGAGTGACCTGACACCAGTATAACAAACATTGATCCCATCACTGGAGATGTTTCATCATATTGGGACACTTAATAAGATGACACTTTAATATTTCTTTTAAACTGTTGAATATAATATAGCTGTTCTGGTCCAGGAGTGCACACACATACCCAATGAATGTATTTAGTAGGAATCATAAAACAGAAAATACATACACATACAGTCAAACCTACAGAATACCTTCCAAATAATGGTTAAATGTAACTTAAAATTTTTATGTTTTGCCAATGCCCACAGTGCACACTGAGGAATAATATTACTGATGTTACCCAATTTAACAAGCACCAACCAGGAGGAGATCCAAAATGACCACAACGAGACCTGAAAGAGATGAAAATGAACAGCAGAGAGACAGAAAATAACTACAGAAATGGGCAAAGCAGCACCAAAAAGACAAAAAAAAATACATCGTAGAGATCCGAATGACTGCACAGTGCACACAACAACCACAATGAGACACAAAATTACAATGAAAGACACAATGAAATTACCTCAAAAAGACACAAAATAACCACAAGGATAAACAGAATGATCACAAATAGACAAAAAACACCATATAGTCAGTGTGTCTTGCTCCTATGTAAGAGAGGTGGTGGGGCCCTCTACATATTGGTTCCCAGGGGCCCATGCTCTCATAATCCGCCCATGGACTTGTGGTTCTTTATTGTTTCTGTTCACTTTACTAAATGTGAAAAAAAGAAGTTTAGTTTTTTTTTTTTTAATTTTATTTTAAGTCACATTCCAATTAAAACCCAAAAAAGAGTAACTATTTACGCTGTATTTAATTCATATAGCAGAGGCTGATTTTTCTGAAGGAGCTGAAAAGTGAAAGTAATACACTGACAATTGACAAATACCACAAACAACCCCACTTAGAAAACCTGAGCTATCCCTTTAGTATTGTCTGGAAGTGATGTCTGAGTGTTCCGGTACAGTTGGCTGAGACACCCAGATCATAGACTCTGTGGACATTTATGAAACAAATCCCCATAGGATGACGAGGCTCAGTGGGCTTTTTTTTGTGTTCTTTCAGGCTGTCAAGCTCCTGGCTGTCGCACAGAAAAGGCGAATCTATGACATCACAAATGTGCTGGAGGGTGTTGGTCTCATTGTGAAAATCTCCAAGAGCGTTGTGAAGTGGAAGTAAGTTTCCAACCCTGCTTTGTGTGTACACATTTCAATATGCATGTGTGTTAGGAGTGTGGTGCAAAATATGTTTTACAATATAATGCATATCTTTTTCTAAATAAGGGGTGCGGTGCCAGGAGAAACTGCACACATGTTAACCAACAGAGTGATGGAGTTGAGGGCTGAGCTGAAAGACTTGGAGCAGAAGGAGTGTATGTTGGACCAGCAGAGATTCTGGGTAGAACAGAGCATCAGGAACACAAGGGAGGACTGCAGTGAATATCCTTTTTATGAAGCCACAGCAAAGTGCGCAGAAATATACTGTGTGTGCTTGTTGGAAATGTTTCACTCTTCCTGCTTTAACAGTAAAATGTAAACTGAAAATGAGATGTCAGACATTATTTTGAGCAGATTAAATGTGGTATTTCAAGTTGAACCTTAACTCACATTAACTCTGACCTATGTGAATCATGACGACATCTGCAACTGCTTCAGTGGTAAGTTACAGTTATTCTGTACTTTCTGTTACAGCATAGTTGGTTCAATATAAAGGCAAAAAGAACCACAAGCATTTATTTTTACTTTTAATATATAAAGAACAGACTACATTATTGTCATCTGAAAGAATTTTGACTCTCTTCTCCCTCCAGGCCATACTCTCTTGGCAGTACGAGCACCGCCTGGCACACAGCTAGATGTTCCCATTCCCAAAGCTGTAAGTTCTGCATCACTGGAACCCACTGCCGTTTTTCTTTTCTGCTTTCATTAATTCAGATGGGATGATTTTGTGTGTGAATACATCTTTCTTTCAGGTTCAGGACAGCCCAGCAAAGTACCAGATCCATCTAAAAAGTATTAATGGACCGATTGATGTCGTACTTCTTAACAAACTCTCTGTCAGCTCTGTTCCTGTCGTACTGCCTGTCCCACCACCTGAAGAACTTTTACGGAACGCCAAACCAGTCATACCCACTTTAGATGAGACTGGAAGCAGTATCGCACCTTGTCAGGTTTCAGCTGACACCGGACATGGCACCAAATCTACAATGTCTGCCATGGAGGACATGCAGCACCTTCAGTCATCGTCATTAAAAAACAGACCGGATTCATCTAAATGTGAGTGTTTTAGTTTGAACGCTTTCTGAAGTGTGTTTTTGTTGAAATAGAATCCTAAATTTAGTTTTAGCTTGATACTCAACCCCTTGCCAGATTGATTTTAAAAATGGGGAAATTAATATGAAGTTTAAAATAATTTGTTTAAGACACTTATCAGGTGTACTACTTGACCAAGGTTATTGTAGTTGACTAAAACTAAACTAAAATTAGGTGTAAAGAAACATTTAAGTTACCTGAAGTAAAAATAGCTAGACTTAAGAAAAAAATGAAAACCAACTGAAACAATACTGTGTACTTACGAAACTGAACTAAAATAATATACAGGAAATCTTGTAGGTTTTAGACTTTGGCTGGTACATTTACACAGGGTATTAAGATGCGTCCACGGTGATCGGATCACAAGTAGACAGCTCAAAGTACAGGTGTAAATGCACCAAATGAGTCGTCAGTGCGTTTTGAGATCCAGTCGCTCAGAGCACATTCAGAGGTGGTCTGGGCAGCATGTGGCCAAATTCTGTGTGTGTACACTAATGTGTCCTTAGCCACAGTGAAGGACTGCCTACTCAGCTCACGTCTTTGCTTATCTGACACCCCACTGGAAAAGAAAACTTTCATTAATGCAGTTGCACCGATGAAGAGTTGAAGCACTGTCTCTGGTGCCACTCCTCTTGCGGTGAATGGTCAGTTCACTGTCTGCCTGGTTAATGTGAGTTCACAAAGCAGCAGCTGTTAACTGGTCTCAACAAACTCACACCAACATTGAATCTGCTCAACTCTGTCGTTAAACCCATTAATAACAGTTAAGCCCAGTTCAGACCAAAGATTTGCGACATGACGAGTTGAAACATGCAACTACTTGCAATGTGCCATTCTGTAATGTTCTAAAAACCTGCCCGTTCACACCAATGCAACTAGAAAACTAGACAGAGTATCATCTCTATGCAGCAACTCTCTGTACTTCTGTTTTGATTTCCAGTTTTTCAGGATTATTTTGTGGCTGAATATAATTTGTAGCTAAAACCAGTCGCTGGCGATTTGACCAGCAGCGTTGCAGTTGACACCATCGGTCAGTTTGAGTCGAGCTCAGACAGCCAGTTTACACCGCTGCAACTTTTCTCTGAAATGTTCTAAACCAGTTTCGTCTCGTCCCGAATCTTTGGTCTGCACTTGGCTTTAGGCAACATTGGCCCTGTGATACTAAAAGTTAGCCCTGTCACTGCATGCGTGCGTGCATGTGTGTGGCCAAGGGGTAGTCTTACCAACTGTCCCCAGCATGGAGCACATGCTCCCACAGCAGTTGTCTCCTGGTAGTGCTTATCTCATGTTAAACTGACAGAGAGCAGGGCAGGGAGGGGCTGCAAATCAATACGCCACAAGCAGCTCTATAATTTAATATGATTTAATTTATTCATTTTAAATAATAAAGGCTTTAAAGGTGTGTGCATAACATGACTAACTTCCCATTGGTTAAAACAACACATTTGATCTTTGCAAATAGAATGATTCACATTTGCAAACAGAGCAGAGAAGTGAGATCACAAGTGGTCATACATGTGGAGAAACACTCCAGAGCCAGTTTGCACAGACTGATTTAGAATGGTCCACTTCTGATTGGCTCATACAAGATGCATAATAATAGAGAATTGGAAATGACGTCATTATATTCTGGGTGGTAGCATCCATACTTTAGGACACGCTTTTTCAACAGAAACAAAAAACAAGAACAGAAAGTGACAAAGCAGCGTTCTGAGTAACTTATTAATAACTTGCAGAGACGTGCAATAATCTAATTTCAACCTTCTCTTCCCCTCTCTGTCTCTCTGTGTCCCTCACACAGCAAGCAGCTTTAATGTCAGTGCTGCTGCGCTCAGGCTTACCATTATTTGGCTTTTGACCAGGAAAATATGTCAAAGTCTGCCATATTTAAATCTCTCTAGTCATGTCCCACAATGCTTTGTGTTGCTCACTACCACTCTTGTCAAGATCCTGTTCTCTGAACAAGGCAGAAACAGGGTCTTTGTTAATGTGGTCAAATTTGTAAATGCAAGCATCAGGAGGCACCGTTGCATACGTTTGAGACGTGGATGTCTGCGTTACTTTGAGTCAGTTGACTACTGGTAAACTGGCTTTTTAATATCTCTTTTACTTCTTATCTGAGCTCTGTGGAAGAGATAACACAAAAGTCAGGCTCTTCCTTCACTGACTGATAACAGTTTATCGTTAATATACCACAGTGGTTTCTGCGGTGTCTTTCCTTGTCTTCAGTTTTTTTCTTGCATGCTTACACAATAATATGTTCATGCCTCCTGCATGTTTCTCTCAGTGCTGCAGGCTTTTACATTGACATTTAAAAATCTATTTTCCCCCCAGCACAAGCTTTATCAAAACAACTGCAGGAGCTACTACGCCCAACCAAAGGTAGAGCCTGTATTGTTTTTGTGTCTCTGAATTATTTATGTTCATTAAATTCTTGTCAGTTTATTTGAATGTATACAAATGTATGATTAATTATGTGTTACCTCATGTTGTAGAAATGATAAGTGCAGATCGAATCAGAGAGCTTATTGCCTCTGAAGGTAAGTGAACTTTATTTTATGACTTCATATTAATTATGTTTATATCTGTCATAAATTATTTGTAGTATGTTTGTATTAATCACGTCTTCACCTTTATTCTACAGTTTTTTCTCCGCTCGTCCGTCTGTCTCCACCCCCATCGGAACATGAATATGCCTACAATCTGGACGACAGTGAAGGCCTCTGTGACCTCTTTGATGTCCCGATGGTCAATGTTTGACCGTGACCTCCTGCATTAAGGACTTCAAAAGTAAATATTTTACTCCAGAAATGTACATAGCTGTCTGTTTTTAAATAGGTATTTGATTGCAACAAATAATAAACGAATGATTTTGAATACCACGTCCATCTCATTCATATACTGGGGAGCAAATATTCTTAAAACAACCTGTAATGGGGAAAACTTGTGCTAACAATGCTAACAAGGCAAAAAATGTGTTACTACTGCCAAGAACATTTCTCATCCACGGCTATCACGGGAGTCTGGATCATCTCCAAGGTCTTCATCTTTACCCCTGGACACCCTGAGTCTCCTTGCATAAAGCATGCCAAGTGGGAAGGACTGATGCTTCTCAAACCATGACAGTGCACAAATCATACATTCATTTATGTCTTAATACATTTCCACCACTGCCTTGCAATATAATAAAAAAGATGCATCATGATTAATTTCAACATTTCAGACAATCCATCCAGTATGTGCTGAGATATTTCAGTCAGGACCATCTTTAGAGCCAGCTAAAAAAAACAACCTCTTGTACATGTGTATTCTAGATGGGCTATAAGTATACTGAATGCCCTGCAGTCTGAGGAGGGGGGGGGTCACCTCTGCAGTTCAGGCTGGTCTTATGAAGGAGCCAAACAGCTGGGTTTCTCTCCCTGTAGGTGTAGCACTGCACCACTGCATGCATACATTAAAAGGTAGAGCACCAGAGTGAGGGTGTGAGGTACCCAAATACAGAACAATAAGGTGAAATGAAATTCATACATCACTTAGTACATGTGAATTTTGCAGTGTAAGTTAATTGCTGCAGATGAAAATCAATGAAATGTGAAAAGGTTTTACAATCCTCCAGGAATAATGAAGTAAAACTTTATGTGTCATCTATGTATTTTGGGAAATCTCTACATTAAGTCATTGTATTTCTGTTTGGGTATTTAATTCATATCTGAAATATATTGTTTCTCTGCACACAAGTCTTTGAACCTACAGTCTATGCCCATCAAAGCGCCTTTTCCTGATGTCATCTGTCTTTGTAGCTCCTAACAAAACAAGCCATTTATAATAGTGTAGCACAGATGATGATTTATTCATTTTATCAGAAGCAATAATCTATACTCTATAAATCAGGGTATCACAGCCATAGATATTTAGGTGACACAACATTACTAATAGCCCAGGGTGCTGGTACTGTACACACACAACCAGTGGGTGTTTGTCTCGTACAAAAACAAAAGTTACATTGATTTAAAAATTAAATTTAATGTCATTTTAGTGAATTGGTTGCTCAAAGCTGGTTAAATGTACATGTGGAATAGGAGGAATCAGAAGCATTGATCAGCAAAATGTACTTAAAACATAATGGAAAAGTACTTGTTCTGCAAAGAATATTATAAATGGTTTATAATACACCATAATAGTTGTCTGCAGCCATAAGGCCATTTAAAAATGTTTATTATTGGACAGTATTAGCCAGCAACTCAAAGGTTTTCTATAAAGAAATACATTATTACAACTGTGTCTCATTCTTAACTTTTTATACACCAGCTTCCACTTACAGGTGCCGACCACAGTCTGTTGTGCCCCCAGGAAGAGTTGTAGTTGTTGACAGAAATTAGTGAACATTTACAACTGCTTACAACTACATTTTAATATGTTATAAACCTTAAAGGGTAACAACACCATTTTCAAAATTCATGTGTTACTCCTATGGTCCAAGACAGTCCAAAAATATAAGTAAACATTAACAACTCTCTCCCAAATCCAAAAACTAGAGTGCTAAAACTCAGCTTTGTTTTGTCACAGGGTATTAAGTGTGGAGCTGCTCTGTAGACAATCAATTGGTAAAGATGTTCTAGATGACACTGAGAGCACCCAGGGGAGTGTTCTGAGTAGATGGGTACATTTTCTGTTTCAGAACTGTGAACATTACAATAGAATAAAGCTCATCTGGGTATAGAAAAGAAAGCAAAATTTTGATGGGTTTATAAAATCAGGCTCCCAGTTATTTTCTATGGTGAAGCTCCAGACTTTATACCCAATGACATCACATGTTTAAGACTTATTTCTCTGGTTTTTGGTTTTCATGTTAACAAATATTGATTGAACTTTTCTAGGCTATGGAAATAACATACCGGGATTCTTAATTTGGGTGGTGTTCCCCTTTAAAGTGTGATCTGAAAACCAATATACCTGGCAAATAAATATAGTGTCGTAAAATGTAGCCTACAATATTGCTGTATTCTACGGCTCTGAGACTACTCTGCCTTACTCTGCCTCTGATTGGCTTAGCCTGATATTCCAGCGTAAATCTAACCAATCAAGCCTCTGAAGGCATGAGTACTAGCCAATCAGAGAGAGATAAGGGCGGGTCAAGTCTTTGCCATCCTAGGTAAAAAAAAATCGTTCACATTGTAAAGACCGCGTGCTTGTGTTACTATGACAACGCTTGTTTGAGACTGTTGACTTGAGACAGAGTTCAACACTGAGTGTGCTAACTGCCGTGCTAACGCTAGCTCCTCCAAACGGTTGAAACATTGCCTGTCTTTCCGTGTTGCCTGCACAGTGAATACGATGGTGAGCAAAGCTTTATTTGAATCAGACCATTACATCCATGAGCCGACTACAATAAATAGCTAACGTTAGTTGTTAGCTAGCTATTAGCTTAACGTTAGCTAATAGCTTAGTTAGTTATTTAGAAGCTAACGGTTGGTGTACGAATTTGGTGTTTTAAGTTTGACACCTCGTCTCCTCAGTTTGTGCGTCTCGTGTTTTATCATTATCGTCTCCAGTTTGGGATCAATAAAGTACTATCTATCTATCTATCTATCTATCTATCTATCTGTTACATTTATGAGAGGCACAGACAAATGATAGCTGCTTCCTCACAATAATGACGTTAAAGAAAAATGCTAGGTTGCTAGAATGAAGTAGTTTTAACTTGTTTCTACTATGTTGACTTTTGTACAGCCACCCAAAAAGAAAGACTCAAGTAAAAAGCCTGCAAAGGCAAGGACACCAGTACTGATAGATGGCCGCACCAAGGAGGAGATGTCCAAGGAGCAGGTCAGAGCTGGAGTGTGGTGTGTGTTTGAAAGTGTGGAGTGATGGAGGAGGAAAGAAAAGTTTCCTGCTCAATGATCTGTACATTAATGGGCTTCAGTAAACACCAGGTAACTGGGAAATCCCAAAGGAAAGGTTTAAACAAAAGTGGTTAAAATCAATGCAGCAGAGGCAGAGATATCCTAACTTTCAGTTCCTAATATGTGTTAACAGTAGTAATAATAATAATAATAATAATAAGCCTAATAATAATAATAATAATAATAATAATAATCATGCATCTAATTTAAAAGGCCAGTGTGAAGGATTTATGGGGATATATTTGAAGAAATGGAATTAATATAAAAATATGAAAAGATTTCTAGTGTATAGTCCTCTGCAGATAAAAATTGTTGTGTTCTCCTTAACTTAGAAGGAACTGTTTATATCTGCATAGGGAGTGGGTCTTTGTTTATGGAGATAACCATGTTGCACCATCACGTTTCTACAGTAGTCCACAACAGTCAAACCAAACACCAGCTCCAGATAGGGCCATTTGTAATGTTAAATTGCTTTATTCCATGTTTCTAGCGGTTTAAATCATTTTGGAGAGGAAGAAACCATTGTGAATAATTCGGCCTCCGGTGAAAACCTCCTGAACGTTGGGATCTTATGTTATCTGAGAAAAAAGGTGACCACACATTAGTGTGTGTTGGTGTAGCCACCCGTAGTGACATGCCAAATTGCGTTGAAAATACATGATTTTTAACATGAAACTGCCTTATTCAGAGTTTTTACTGGTTTAAATCACTGGGTTTGGTTGTTTTGGAAAGGAAGAGACCTCTGCAGATGATTTGGCTCACTGTAAAGTCCTCCTGAATGTCTGGATCAGAAAAAGGTAAGCACATATTAAGGAGTTAGCACACAATAGCATGTTGTGGGCGAGCTGCCCGTCTCTCAGACATTGAAGATACTCTGGTTTGTGCTGGAACTGCTTTATTCAGTGTTATTGCGGTTCTAATCACCTTGTCCATTTGTTCTGGAGAGGATGTGACCACTTTGGATAATTCAGCTCCTGATAAAAACCTTCTGAGCATGGAACACTGAAGGAATTCTGGTCGGTAGAAGTTTTTAGCTGGTTGCAATCTGCATTTCACTGCTAGATGCCACCAAATCCCCCTAAATTTTGCACACTTCACTTATAAAAGGCACCTTTCAAAACACCCAAGATTACTCTAAATACAACCACATGCCAACAAGTTAAAAAACAACAACACACTGGATACTGCCTGACTGTCTAATCTTTCCCTCTCTACCTGCTAAAATGCCTGTCAAGCCCAACCTCCCCAGTTTTTAATGAAGCCCTTTTCTTATAAATTGGTGTTCTTTAAACCCTTGCTCAAATAGCCCTGAAGACATAATCAGGGCTATTTTCTCAGACTTTTCTCCAGAGCCACAGAAGACATTATGATTTCACAGGCTGAGTGGTGCCCCCTGTGAACATTAAATAGGACTTTGACATGGACAATGATTAGAGTGCCCTGTTAGGATAAATGAGGCAGTAAGGTTTATTGTCGTCGACATTGTCAGGCTCAGATATGCCCACACAAAAATTCAATTTTGTATTTCAGATGGAAGAGCACATTGTGCGTCTTCGAGAGGAGCTGGACAGAGAGAGGGAGGAGAGAAACTACTTTCAGCTGGAGAGGGACAAGATCCACACCTTTTGGGAGATTACAGACAGAGAACTAGAGAATTTTAAAGCTGAACTGAAAAAAGCTGAAAAGGACATTGAAGAGGATGAGGAGCGCCACCAAGTAGAAATCAAGGTAACGTTGATATACAGACGTTTGGGTTTTTTTTTCACGGATACTAGCAGTAATTTGTCATTTGTTAAGCAGAGATTATCCATGGACAGATATGGCAGAATGAACGTTATATTGTACATTTGATTATCTTTTCCTCACTAGGTGTATAAGCAGAAGATGAAGCACCTCCTGTGTGAACACCACAACATGATATCTGAGTTGAAAGCAGATGGTTTAGTCTCCACTCAGGTGGTACAGAAAGAACAAGAACAATTAGAAACTGAGCTTCATAAGGACATGAGGGCCATTGTGGTCAACACGGAGAAGCTAGACATTGAAGACCTCATCAAGGAGCATGAACTGGTTTGTAGTATTTTAATTCTACACTTAAAGATCTGTGTATTTAATGTTTTGCTTTGCTCTGATAATTTCCAACGAGTAAACGTCAATGCTACAAACATCAGTTTGGTTGTTATCTCAACAGAAACATAATGAAGAAATGACTAAAAGAAGGAACAGCTTTGAGAAGCAGCTCGCAGGTAAAAAAAAATCTGAGTTGAATTTAACACCCAGTAATGTCAGAAACTAAATCGGGCCCATGATTTGTGTCACTATTTGAGTAGAAACTAAGGCCAAGTATCAGAAGAAGATGGAGTTGGTGCAGCAAGAGCTGGACATTCAGAGGAAAAATGGGATCAAGGAGTTTGAGCTACGTTGGAACAGCCACAACAACAATCTTATAGAAGAGCACAACAAAGCTCTCAGTGATCTCAGGGAACAATCTGTTAATAACATGCAACAGCATTTGGATAAGAACGATTCAAACAGGGTAAAAGTACACACATTCAGCATTCTTCTTAGGTTGACACCAAAGAAATTTCAGATATTTTTAGGCCTGCAACTCATAATTCATTTCATCATTGAAGAGCCTGTTAATTATTTTTTCATGTAATTTATACAGTGTTTAGTCTAAAATGTGGGTAAAATGGTGATGTTTTTGAATTGCATGTTTTGATTTATAATCAATTTGTTATTCTATTCAAAATAATATGATGCATAGAAAAGTCTTTGATAATTTTTATAATTTCCATCAATGCCCCAAAATTGTTGACAGTCATTTTATTAATTGTTGCAACAGTAGTTCTGATCCGGATATGTGTTTTTTATCTCATGGCATGTTTTTATTGTCTTTTCTTAGAAACAAATTGAAGAGATAAAGAAAATAACAGAGGAGAAAGAAAACAAGCGAGCTCGTGCTTTGCAGGATAACGAAAGTCTCGAAGAGCATCTCAGGAAAGTCCAGAAGGAAAGCGCTGATATTGAGAAAAGATTGAGATTCTACAGACCTGAAAAGGTTTTTTTTTTTAAACTGAGTTTACTGTTGCAACTTTGTGCACTTATATTTGTTGCTACCTCTGCCTTGATTGGTGCCTTGCATAGTGTGTGTCTTCGTAACTGACATGTAGCGTACTGTATATCAGCACAAGGTCATTTTATGACACTGTTCTTGACAGTATGACAAAGAAAGCGCCAAACAAAAGAAGGTTGATGTTTTGAAACGGGATTGTGAGGAGCTGGAGCAGAAATTCAGAAAGGTAAAAGCTTGCACTGTGTCATGTTGCTCAAATGTTAGCTTGATTTCATGTGCACCTTGGATGTGAGCCAGATGCGTCGTGTACTTGTCGGCATTTATGTCAGTGGTTTAGCATTTGCCTTTCATATGTGTGCGTGCACATGTCACACAGGTTCAGCAGGAGAGGGACGAGCTGTACGAGACGTTCACAGAGAATATTCAAAAGGTGCAGCATAAAGCAGGTGTGAAGAGCACACAGCTGGAAGGGAAGGTGAAAGGCCTGACAGACCTTCTGGAGAAGAGGCAGGCTCAACTCTCCTCGGTGCTTTCTGCCTCCAACATGGACCAAACTGCCTTTGATGGGGTCACTCACAAAATTGAGGTGAATTCTCTTTAAAGTAGTGTGTATTTTACACATGTTGCTGTGCTGTTTGTACAAGGTCATAAGAGAAACTTGTTTTTGCTTGTAGGAAAAACTTGACTCCAGTAATAACACCATCAGGAACCTGCAGTATAAAAAAGCTCTAATTTCGCAGGTTGGTAATTTTTTTTATTTCCTGAAAATGCTGTCATGTATTTATCTAACTAATTATGATGTTCATTAATTGTTTGTCATAATATTCATACTTGTGTGTATGTGGCAGGCCCAGAAGGATTTGCTGCTGTTCTATGACGCAAAGCAAAGGGCTCTTGGTGTCCCTGTGGAGGAACTGTGTGTAAAGAAAGCGCTTTGAGAACAGTCTCCCTGGGAAAAGGACTTGGATCTTGGGATTTTTCCCCAAAACAAAGGTTCCCCTCAGATTTAATGGATAAACCAATTCAGTTGCTGAGAAACTGTGTTATTTAAACATGGATGCTACTATTTATAAAACATGCCTAATGTGAATTATTGTATTGGAGAGTGATGTGTGTTGTGCTTTTTTTATTAAAAATTTTAAAAATAAAGGTTTTGTGCAAGTAAAATAAAGTCTTAAGCTCTGATTTCAATAAATTATGGCAAAGACCAACTGATAATTTGAGGTATTAATCATTTCATATTTCCATTGAGAGATAGTGGCGGAAAGTTGGACTCAAACCAACTATTACAATCTCAACAGCTAGTTTCACCAGCTGATTTCTGCCATACCTGAGTTTCCAGCAGAGAGAGGAGGAACGTATGGTGTGGATCCAGTTTCTCATTGAATATTCCTGTGGTGAATCGAGCCCTGCTGCACTGAGTGATCGCTGTTCCCTGCGGTATCAATAATACAGGAGGAAGTTATTGTCCCTGTGCAGGCCACAGTATCATACAGCTCGAGCATGTGGAGGGAGGGGGTGGTCCTTTCACTCAGCCCTCTTGGGTTTCAGGGCCTGCAGACAGTGGTCTGACTCAGGGGAGCCGGCTGCCGTGCCCTTGCACAGGGCTCAATTGTAAGTCTGCCTGGCCGAGGGATAAATGTGTCTAAACACTGACAGCCTGCACAGTCTCTGCTGGGCCGGCCCCGTCAGTAAGACTACACCCCCAACAAACCCAGAGTCACAAGATGAGTCCCAGCTGAGAGATGGCTCAATGGGGAATCAGTCAGTGGGAGACATGGGACAGTTAGAGAGAATGGGATAGATAACCTGGGTGTGATTAACATGATCCCGATTTTCACCTTGTTTGAGCACCTAGCTGAGTGTTGTGACCTTCCTGTATGATGGCCCAAAATACTGGGAACACATAAAGGAATATATTGTACACCCAAATACAGGAGGTGACCTTAAAGACTGAGAGACAACTTATTTTAAGGGATTATGTACACCCAAACTTAATCACGCTGCTCTCTCCTCATATCCTGCACACTGTCATAGAAAACAGCTGACCAACATGCTGTAGCATAGCAAGATAACTCATGAAATATGAAGCCAGGTATCAAACCTAAACCCCAGAGACAGAAAAGCAAGTGCCTCAAACAGCTAGAAGCAAAGAGAGAGAGGACGCAGGTGGGAGGGGTGCAGGAGGAGTAAGTGAAAGGTAGAGAAAGGCAGAGTGATGGTGAAACAGAGAGTGCCACCCAGAAAGAGGTCAGCTCTGAGTGTGGTGACACCGCTGAGTAAGAGATGCTAGTAAAAGCCTGAAAAGGATACCTAAAGCAATGAATGGACTGTAACTGCTGGTGAGTTCTAGATTTCTTTTTATCCATTGTTTCACTTTTGTGAGTGACCACTGACCTTTCATATGCTTTTAATAGGAACAGGCGTATTCTCTGTTACACACGTAAAACTGTGATCTCTTTAAGAACTGTGTATTTAACCTCATAACTTTGGTCACTCTTTTCAGCACTGCATACGGACCTACCTTTGTAGTCTCTTAGTTTTTTATAGGTTAACTACATTACTGATGCTTGTTTTAGCAACCTAGCAGTGAGAGTGATAAGGTGATGTGGTGGCCAGTCATTAAGGTTTAATATCCCCTCTCTGTTGAGATACTTTACTCCTTGAGTCTGACCCATCGCTGAAATAAGAAAGGAACACAGCATCTGTTTAAACACAGGATTTTGTGGAATCAATAGGAGCCTGAAAGCCTGACGAGAAAGATGTGACACCACCGTGTCACTGTGCATGCTGCCATGAGATGAAGATGGCAGAGAAAGGGCCAGGGATGGCCACTCTTATATTCACCAGCATCATAGTTTGTGCTGTTTTAATGGGACAAGGATCCCCTGAGAAGACAGGTGAGTGCACCACCAGAATACGTCCCTAAATTAAATATTTTATTACTACATGTTCATAACATGATCCCAGCTCAAGCTGTCTCTGATGGGACTTTTCTAGGAGGCGGTAAAGAGGACCAAAGAGATGCCATTCTTAGGGAGATCATTTCTAAGTGGAGTACAGGAAGTAGTTGGAATCCTCAGAAAGCTTCCCCAGAAACAAACAAGGACCAGTCTATGCACCCTTGGGTGAGGAATATCATGGGGAGCCTAAAAACACTAGGTCTGCTCCCCAGCAAGAACCTGCCGTCATTGAACAAGCCAATTGACAGGCACCGTCTCTCTGGCTTTCTCTACAACATCTCTATGTACCTCCAAGAGATGGGTGCGGAGCTGGAGGAGGCACCTGCAGAGCCAGATGAGGAGCAGCTCTGGGAGAAGGTGCTACATTACTTTCTCCAGTCTGAAGGGAGTGCTGCAATGAACCAGTGGAATGGCCGGGTGCCACCCCGACCCAGCGTCAGAGTGCAGGACTGGTTTTTGTCCCTGAGGGGCAGCCCTCACTGGGACTGGCTTCTGGGGCTGCTGCAGAGTCTGATCAGTCTATTAGAGCGTCAGCCCCATAGGCCCCTCTTAACTTTCTTATCTCAGAACTGGAGGACAGTGAGTGCTGTGTTTGAAGCTGCACTTCAGGCTTTGCTCAGTGGGACCTATGGTCAGGCCAGTGCAGGCCTGCAGGGCTTCATCTGTGCTCTAAAGGGTCGTAGTGACTGCGCCTTCAGTGTAAGTTGGCTTCAGCAGCTGCTGCGTTTCCTAGAAACACGCAACTGGAAGCCTGTGGTCAGTTTACACCCAGCAGGGGAAGGTGCTGAACACAGTAGGAGCTCGAATGCATTTGGACGTCTAAAGCCATTCAGCTTGCCTCCTGAGGCCATGAGGCAGGATGGGTTGTCTAGGAATGTGTCTCTGGAGGATGCGATGGCCGCAGAGGATGATCCAGACTCCATGCAGAGTTTCCTTCTGCAGGCGTTATCGCGTTCAGGTGGAGGAGAGCGAGGTGGTCACATGGCACAGAAAAATCTAGCTCTGGTGCAGAGTTTGGACGGGCTGAGGAGGGGCCTACTGCACAGAGTGGGTAGTTCTGTCTACGGTAACCTGAGGAAGAAAGTGTCACGAGTTACCATGGCGCTGCTTGATGATGTCAGCAGCCTGGTGGATGTGCCACAGCCCAACACTCGGAGCCGGTGCTCAGTTGGTGAGTATGTAGAGCAGATCAACTTGGGCTGTTTGCACAATCATAATAGATATGTACATTAAATATGTATAGATATTGAATGAATGTATGTAACGTGGAAAATATGATCACTTTTATTTGTATTTATTTATTTACTTTTTATTTTTTGTGAAATGCTTTGGCAGAACATATCTTTGTTCATGCCAATAAAGCTATTTGAATTGATAAGAACTACATTAGACAATAAGCTGAGTTACAAACTTGGCTCATCCCACGGAAAAACAGGTGTCATTCAGTGTTGCACGCAGTCATACACACAATCTGATTATTGCGAAAGAGGATCCTCCAGCTATAGTTCACCTGTCAGATGCTGCTTTATGTAGATATACTCTCACATTCAGACGCCTTACTTCAGAGGATAAACCTGTGAATAGCAAGCATACTACAAGTGTGTATATATTATAGGTAAAGAAGTAAATCATACATTCTTCAGCTTGTATTTAGTGATATTCACAGAGTAAAACCCTTTTTAAAAGCCTGAGCTGCATCAATTTGGCCCTGGTTTCACCTGTAGGATACAGTAGAGACAGTGACAGTGACTGACACTGCTTTAAAATCTTTATAATCATCCTGGCTGGTGAAAGCATCTCTTGTTAGCCCAGCTAATCTCTTTATCCTCTCACTGATGTCGGTAACATTATATCTTGGGCATTGTTAGCTGAGCTGCACCGTTGCATCAGACATGGTTGTGAACTGCAGGGGCTCCCAGTTGCTTTTTACCACCACTTGTTCACTTTGATTTCCTGGTAATATTTGCTTTTCTTTTGTCTTTCTGAAGGTGACCTGAGACAACTGATCTTATGGTGAGATATGTTAGGAATATGGCTCAATATGTCAATGCAGCCTGCATATTTGGTAGTACATTAGCAGCAAAAGCAGACTGACATTTCTACCTTTGTTCTGTCCCCGTATATGTAGGGGGATAAGACATAATGTGACGTGGAACACTCAGGCTTTGGGTGTTAGCTCCCAGGGTCTCCCAAGTTCGCTACCATTCCTGTCCTGCCCCTCCACCGAAGCAGATGAACTAAGATCACGACTAAAATCAGGCCACTCATCTCCAAAAACAGGCCCCTCTACACAAACAATCTCCAAACAAAAACGCCTTCATGACCAACGCTCCCAGCTCAACCAGCCACAATCAGGGAGAACGAGCGAGAGCAACAACCAGCAGAGAGAGATGGAGTTCTCCAGCTCTATAGAAATTCTGGAGGCTGTGTGTAATGAAACCATCCCAGGCTTGACAGGCGTCTCCAACTTCACCGTGTTTCTCTACTGTAAACTGTTTGAGGGGGAAAATGGGTCAGTTAATCCTGCAGAGGCCCAGCTGGGGCTTGACCTGCATGCCACATGCTCTGATGCAGCTTGGTACCTGTCTGCTGCTGAGGATGACTTCCTTTGGGTTCATGTCTGCAGTGAGTACTTTGCACATGAATTCAACAACACCGTGTGTGCCAACTCCTCTTTCTGGCTGCAGAGAGCACATCAGGTAATGGGTCGATTTCTGTTGAGTATTTTGAGAACTTTTTGCTTAGTATTTGTGGCATGGCAAGGCATACCAAGGACCTGCACGGATACCATCATATTTAAGTTTCTTCTACTTCATTTTAATTTATTCTGTCTTTATCATTTGCAGGCTGCAGGGGCAAAGGACTACCATTTTTTTAACCTGACGAATATAGATGACCTGTGTGTGCAGCTGACAGGTGAGACGGTAGAAAGTCCGGTACTTGATGAGAACTGTCTGGCCCAGTTAGGCAGCAGATTGCTCAGTGCCCAGGCTTTCCGACACTGCTTCCTTCCCAACAACTCCGCCCTGATCTCAGCTCTGTGCGGCAGAGAGTCCCCTGACTCACACCAGTCTTTGCCAGAGGGCAGCTGGGCCGCAGCGTACTGCTCAAAAATACACAACTTCTCCCATGTTGAAACCACTGAGGAGACTTGCCAGTATACTACGTGGGCTGTGCATCATTTCACCAACTTTTCTCTCCTGG